TTTTTAATCCATTAGCTATTCAAGCTTTTCGTTAATTTTTTGGGGGTGTCAGTTACACAGATCTCTATCTCTCAGCCAGCTAGCTGATTAATGCCCCAAGAATTGGGGCACGAGTGTGTTACAGAGAAGGAAAAACACAGAAGCCAAGGTACTAAACTCCTCTGGGCGTTGGGAGCTCTTTGGAGAGGGCAAGCCTGCACAAGTGTCCACAAACCTCAGCTGTTCTGAGGGCATCAACGAATCTCAGCCAGATTTATTAGCTTTGTTCCAGCACCTTGTGCACACAGACCAGGTTTAAGGCAGACAAGATAGGGGGATTGTCCAGACCCCCAGGCCAGAAGAATACCTATCTAAGGCCGAGTTAGACAGCTTTGCAAGTGCAGGGAGGAGGAGCGGGTAGAGAACAGGAAACCCCACAGCTTCCACAAAGCTGCAGCATGATCCTGGATCTTTGCTCTTCATTCACTGCTTCTACCCGTGACTGACCACATCTCAAGTTTTTTGAGCCTTGTTTCACATCTGAACCAGCTGAAGGAGCCAGGGCCAAAACCTCACCTGAACTTTGGTAACAAGTAAAAAAAACCAAAACAAAACCACCAAGCTTTTCAGTCTCAGCACACTAACATATAGAATAGTTATCTAGCTTTATACAGAAAAGGAAATGCCATGCCACCACAGTCCCTCCTTTGTGCAGTTTTTCTACCACTACTTTGCTGCCCCTCACCCTTTCCTGATGCAGCCAATAAACTCGTGTAAATCACTGCCTGGGGCGGTTTCTGCGCTGTGACACCTGCAGGATGTAGACAATGATTCTGCTGGCACAGTGCGGTAAAACTGCTCCTTTCACTGTTACAGACACAGCCCCATTCTGTCCATCTGCTGTGACATATGGCTGTTTAGTCACAACAGAGTCTGAACTCTGCAGAGCTGACACACAAGGTGAGTGAACTTGGAGGCAAGAGCTAGAGTAATAAACAATTTGGAGGCTAGCAGAATTGCTGCTTATTCTTTGTGGTAACCTAACTGCTTTATCAAAAGAGCAGCAAGCAGAAAACCACACTGACTTTAGTTGATATATGTAGCTATCCAGGTAGCTGAGTTTCCACTGTGCACATCAACTGACTGCACGCAAATTGTACTCAGCTAAATTTCATCTCTGCAGCAGCTAAGCAAGCGTTGAGCACCTACACATACAAATCTACATGGAAGCACACAGCTTCTCCACCAGCAGTCTCATTTTATGTTAAGGCCAATCTGCTAAGCTGCAACTCTACTTGGCTCTTACTAAGTATATTACAGACAAAGGGAGTATACAGAGAAGACTCACCTTTCTTTCCTCTCGTCACTAACTGCAAGGCAAGTAAAAATTTCAGAGATACCAACAAATATGTGCCCTAGTTTAGCAAAAGCCCACCAGTGTCAGAAGTATTCAGGAGGTGTTCTTTTTGAGCTCTACTTACGGTTTCTTTTCCATTTCTCTAGATCAGTCAGGTCTCCAGCCAGAAAGAAAAATATCTTACATCCTTTGTTGCAGTTTCCATTCAAATGGCTCAGAGTCTCTCTATCCTCCATCAGAATATAAAGATATCAAACTCACATACCAGAGTCCCCAGGGTTCAGTAACCAGCCTTGCCCCTACTCCTTGGTGTACTTACTCGCAAAGCCATGACAAAACCTTCTGCAGGAGGAAGGATAAAGCAACCTAAATTTTCGACAGCCAGAGTTTCAGCCTAGTCTCCCAGGTAGCTAGCGAAGCAACTAAGAACATTTCTTCCTTTCGCTCACTGGACACCCCTCTTCTTACTAGCATGTTCACCACATGATAATGGCAGATTTGATTGGAATGCGCTAGATTGAGTTTATGGCTGTTATAGCTGTTTAGGTGTTAATGGGCAGCCTTCTGTGTTTGCCATGGGGCTTGCTTGCTTTACTGTATATCAGAGTCCAGTGCTCATTAGTGGTTGCTTTTGCTGCTTGCTGTACTGCTTATCATCTTAATCATCATATCATAGGAATATGTTGATCACAGCAATGGCCGCGCGCCTGGGCTGGCAGATGGCCACGGCATCGCTGCTGTTTCTGTGCTTCTATACTGGACGGACTGGAACTCTGGCGTGAACTGGAGTTGAAGGGTCTGTGACCTGTGGATGAATCAACATAGGAGCAGGACACCCCGAAGCACCTGTGACCGTGCATAAGTCCATGCCACAGCAGGTACACCTCTGAAGGGATTGTGGCCCAAGGATAAGTCCGTGCTGGAGAAGGTACACCTCAGAGAATGTATGGCTGTGGATGAGTCCATGCTGCAGCAGGTACATCTTGAAGTGTCAGTGGCTGTGCACAAGGCCATGCTGGAACACCTCAAAGCGTCTGTGGTCATGGATAAGTCCATGACACTGCGGGTACACCCCTGAAGGGGCTGTGGCTGTAGGAAAGGCCACACTGTAGCAGGTACATCTCTGAAGAGACTGTGGCCCATGGATAAGGCTGCGCTGGAGCAGGTGCACCTCAAAGCAACTGTAGCTGTGGATAAGTCTGTGCCGCAGCAGGTATACCCCTGAAAGGACTGTGGCTCATAAATAAGGCTCCACTTGGAGCAGGTACACCCCTAAGGGAGTGCAGTCTGCAGAGAAGCCAAAGCTGTAGCAGGGGCAAGGGGAGGAGTTCATCACAATGTTAAACCCTATGGTCTAGTCCAGAGAGGCCCAGGGTGGAGATTGTGACAGAAATACCTTCAAGTTGTTTTAACCGATGATTTGAATTGCACGTTATAGGAAGTACTATAGCAGGAACCACCTGAACCAATAGAGCATGAGCCTTATG